GGGTTAGGAAGGGGAAGGAGCCAGAAGTCAACAGGTTGTATTGAGGTTGCTGCTTGGGTATGTGGCCAGAGCAGGTTTTGGTGGCTCCAGCAGAACCTAAAGTTGAGTCGAAGTGAATGTGTAAGTGACATCATTACTTTGTTTTGGTCTCCTGGGGTTGCCTTCTGCTCAGAGGTAGTAAACGGGCCCATTGCCCATAGTAAATGTTGTTTCTTGGTCCATCCTTGTTCAGAAAACTCACAGGTGGGAGCTGGAAGGATTGGAGTGTGGAGGAAGAGGGGGAAGGACGGTTACACACACGTGCTTCCCCCCTCTCTCTCTCTGCCTCTCCCTCTATTTTCGGGACAACCTTAGCTGCAAGTTTGGGAGCGTTTGTTCTTGTGGATCTCACTGTGAATGACAAGTGTGGCATGACAGCAAGTCTAGGTAGAACAAGGCTGGCCACAGGCCTAGCACCTGACGCCAGCCATTGGCAAAACCAGCCAGCCTGACCAGCACCCAGGTCTGTTTGTCTAGTACAGGGTCAGAAAACCTCTTGTGAAAAAGGCCAGATAGTAAATATTTTGGCTCTACAGGCCAGATGGTCTCTGTTACAACCACTCAGTTCTGCTGTCGCAGCATGAGAACAGCCAAAGGATAACACACAAATGAATAAGCATGGCTGTGTTCCAACAAAACTTTATGAAAACAGAAATTTGAATTTCACATATTTTTCATAAGTCACAAAATATTCTTTTTCTTGTTTTCCCCCCCCCCAATCATTTGAAAATGTAAAAAGCACTCTCAGCTCATAGGCCATAAACAACAAGTGGCAGGCCACACTGGGCCAGTGGGCCGCAGTCTGCCGAGCCCTAGACTGGTAGACAGAGCAGTCTAGAGTGTCCCGTGCAGGGCGAGGAGGACACTGGGCAGTAAGGCCAGAGGTCCAGATTAGGCCTCCTCTCACCTTCCTCCCCAGCCCTCCTGATATGCCCATAGCTGAGGCCACAAAAATAAGAGCTGGCTCTGAGATGGAGGCCACAGAAAGACAGCTCTGCACCAACCCCACAGGCCGGGACGCACTGGAGCCAGTTCACTGTCGCTGCTAGGAATGCCTCCCCATAAACCTTACCAGTTCCTGCTCCAAAGGACCTGTCCCCAGGTAGAGGGATGCCATCACAACCCGCCTCTTGGCTACTTTTATCTGTCCCTGAAAGAAGAGAAAAATTCAAAATTCACATTCATCATTTTCATAGTTCACTAAAAAAATACAACCCCTTGACCTTGGAGGCAAATCACACTCCAAGCTAAACTGTCCTATGTCTTCACCAATTAATATTTAAAGCAAGCCCAAAACATATATAGTAACCTACCAAATAAGACTCACAACCCTAATTTAAAGAACTCAGCTCACATAGTAGTCTTAGCCTACTACAAAATGCAATTAAAAAGAATGAAGAAAAAAAAATGAAGGAGATCTGTGCATACTGACATGAACGTGCCCAATGGATTGCTAAGAGACAAAAGCAAATTACTCACAGAATGCAACCCACGCTCCCACCTATTTACAGCTGTGCACGTGTGTGCACATGCATCTGCAGGAACATGGAGAATACATGCCAAACTGTGGCGAGGTGCCCAGGGAGTGGTGCTTGAAGGAAGGGGGCATGGATGCAAATCTGTACTCTACTTTCTACCCATCTGCATGGTTTCAGTTGTTTGTAACGAGCATGTTACCACTTTTGAAAAATAGAGACAGACAGGTACACAGACACACAAACAGAACACAGTAATACCCAGAGGTGACACACTGAATCAGTCCTAATAGCCAGGGTCCTCTCCTTAGACCTTGCTCCAGCCCAAGAGAACACTGATTCCATCTCTGAAGCTCTCAGCAGCCCCGCCCCAGAGATGGTAGCAAGGGCAGAAAGAATGGCAATGCCACCAAAGATACGCAGGAGAACAAGGAGAGAGGGAGGACAGTATGGCATCTACCTGCTTCCCTATCAGAAGGGGCATCACAGCCCAGCCTGAATCAAGACAGGAAGACAGGCATCTGAACACATGAACACACCAATGAGAAAAATTTATGAACAAGGAAAAAACAAAACAAATTTCCAAGGTTGCTATTTCCCTTTGTTTTGTTACAAATTAGATGCTTGTAGGGTGACTATGAAGAAAGAGAAATAAAAAAGGCATAAGGAGCCAGGCATGGTGGCTCACACGTGTAATCCTAACACTTAGGGAGGCCAATGTGGGAGGACCACTTGAGCTTAGGAGTTCAAGACCAGCCTGAGCAAAGACGAGACCCTGTCTCTACTAGAAACAGAAACATTAGCCAGGCATCATGGCATGCTGCTAGTCCTAACTACTCAGGAGGCTGAGGCAGGAGGATTACTTGAACCCAGGTTGCAGTGAGCTATGATGACGCCACTCTACCCAGGGTGACAAAGCAATACTGTCTCAAAAAAAAAAAAAAAAAAGGGTATAAGGCAACTTAGTCCAGGCAACCAAAACATATGCATTGCTGTAGGACACTACATCCTACAGGACAACCATGGCTGCAACAAAGGCATGAGGACCAGGCAGGAACCAATGCTGTCCTCTACTTTTGCTGTCTGTCCCGGGAAGACATGCTACTCAACATAATGCCAGTCAGGAGAATCCACCCACGATCCGTCTCTAACAATAAATAAGAAAGAAATTCAACTGGCCAACATAATCATACTAATAGGATAAAAATTATCCGGCATGGTGGCGAATAGCCTGTAGTCACCGAGCGTACTCGGCCGAGGCTCGACAACACGAGTTCGCTGGAGCCCAGGATTTGGGT